AAAAAAAAAACACTGGGAAATTTTATTTCTTCTATTTCTCAAGCGGCGAGGTGCATAAAACACCCACTGTTGTTTTAGCAATCTCGATAGAACGCGAGTGTGCGGAGAGAAACTATCCACGCAATGAGTGGAGCTTGTGGTGTACATGCATATTCATTACCGCTTGTGTTTCTTTTTTTTTATTATTGCATATATGCTGTATTTCCCTCCCCATCACACAGCTTCTTTGTTATTTATTTTTTTTTCTTTTGTTCCTGTTTTTTTTTCTTTTTTGTAGAAAAAGAGAGAAGTATGTATTACCCCTCTATTTTTTTTTTTTTTACCCCTTTCAATTATGTTTTTCTTCTCTTGTTTTTGTATGTTTTTTTTTTCTTCTCCTTTCTATTCCTTTTTACCTTCATTTCTCTCTCTTTTTCCTTTTTTCTTTTTTTTTTCCCCATCTACCTTTACGCCCGCCATTGGGGGGATCATTTACTATTATTACTATTACTATTATTACTATTATTATTAGTATGAATGCAGAGGGAACCGCTGTGAAAAGACATGTCGGAATCCCCCTTTACGGACGCGGACGCGGAGGATCTTGTGGTCTTTGTTTCCTTCCAAACACTTCTCTCCACTGAGGCGGAATCGCCGGTGGAGAACACAAAGCGTTATGTGCCGGTTGAAGGACATTACGCCGTGGTGGCCTATCCGTGGTGTGGAGGAGAGAAATGTCAATTGCTGTACAATAAAGGGTTTGTGCATTCACCGAATACAAATCTTTTTCCCCAAACGGATAAATGCGATAGAGAGTGGATTCAGCGAGTGAAGGCACGACACGGTATTGCCCCTCAAAGATCATATGACTCTATTGTTCGAAAGGATGTCAAGGATCTTGTGCGTAGATCTCGACGATATCTAGTAAATGCTCAAAATACAGGGGATGCTTCATTGATGTTGGTGGAAAATGAAAAAGAACATTTGCAGTTTCAAATTGAGGATGTGCTGTCCGCAGTGGAAAATTTTTATCGTTTAACGGATTCTACACAGAGAGAAAGAACACTTATTTTTATTACGACTAATGATCGCCTTAAGATGGTACGTGCTGTATTTAAATGGTTTTCCGAGATTGGTACTCGATTTCCACCGTATGCAGTCGTTGCGATGGAGGAGTTTATACCCGCCACTGGGGAGTTGCTCTCAGAAACGGATAATGTACGCCATCTGGATCATAACCGGTGTGCAGTCCACCCTGCATCTTCTTTAAATTGTTTTTTACGTCCTTATGACTGTTGTCGCGCTGATGTTTCTACTCTTCTTCTAGTGAGACGGTATTTGGCCGAATATCTAGCGGAATAGATTGGAATGAAGGAGATGATTCTGTTGAATGTCATCTTTTTTTTTTTTTGATTGCTTTTGAAATATTGTGAGTTTTATAACCATTTTACGCATACATACGTAATGATTTTTGGAAAAAGATAGAGAAAAATGTTTACATTTCGTTTGCTATAAGTAAAGAAAAAGGAAGAATAATTGTATCTACTGAAGGAAATCATTTTTTTCTTCTTTTTTTTTTCTCTCTTTATTATAGGGTGTTCAAGTTCGTTCTCCTTTTCTTTTGTGTTTTCGTCTCGTTTAGTTTTCTTTTTATTATTGTTATTATTATTGTTTCCTTTGTTATAATGCAGCCACAACAACCACAACAACCACAACAGAATTTGGGATTTCAGTTCGTTCGAGAGCCTTATCGAGCAACGGAGGTGCAATTTCAACAGTTTGTGCGTGGAATGGAGGCGGTGTTAAATCAGTGGACGGCGTTACATCTCGTGAGTCAACACTGTGATGCCTTTGCGCTTCAGTCTATGTTCCAGGAACTCGTTTCCTGGTTCCAGACCGATGGTGAGGTATACTCGGATGATTTGGAGTTATTCTTTGAGAACTTCTTCGCAGAGGCTCGTTCTGTTATTATTGAGGACGACAGTATGAAAGAGGTTGGAGATGTGCTGCATGAGATGTACTGCCGTTGCTGTCAAAATGATTTTACACAAGTGGAACAGTTCGTGGCCAGTTTGGAGGTATACCGACGGGTAAATCCTGTTCGTCTCTCTGTGAATGGAGATACTGGAGAAGAGGGACAGGACGATGTGGAGATTAGCGGTGATATTGGAGGAATGGGGGCGGAGATGCAGCAGATGGACTGTAATGAAGAAGCAGAGGGAATGGGCGATGCGGAGACGGCACAGACACAGCAGAGATCACAGCCAAAGAAGAAAAACAAAAAGAATAATTATCAACGTGATAGTGATGGTTGGTGTATTGTGGGAAATTAGAGTGGGCGAAAGAAAACACACTAAGTATAATCGTTGTGTCATTTTTTCTTTGTTTGTTGGTATGATCTTGTTGTCATTGTTGTTGTGATTGTTGTTGTTTTTACTTGTTTTTACATTTCTTGTTTCGATTAAATCATTGTGTATAACATTGTTTTATATATATATGTTTTTCTTTTTGTTTACTGCTTATGTTCGCATTCTGACGTACCTGCAAGCCTGTAAAAAAATGGGGGAAAAAATGGATAATGAACTAACGACCTAACCACTTTTTTTTCTCGTTTTTTTTTTTTTCTTTTCTCTGCACCATATTATATTTGTAACTATATTCACATTCACAGGTGTAGGTATATACATTGTATTACTAAACATTTACACAAGGATATAGAGTCCTTCTCAGGGAAGCGTGAACAATAAGTGTTAGAAGAACAAGAAAAAAAAAAGAAGAAGTTAGGAAGTAAAAAAACAAAAAACAAAAATAAAGGTATACATTACAGAAATATACATATTACCGAAAGGCGTGGGATATTATCATCAAGAGAGAAGATTCAAACCATAAGAAGAAGAAGAAATAATAATAATTGATTCCATGTTACGTCTTGCATCCCGTACGGTAGCGCTTCCCCACTCCCTCTGGGCCCGCGGGGCCTCCACTTTAACAGGCGTCCAAACACTACCGAAGTTTGAAATCCACGACGTCCGCGACGACCCGGCGCTCGGCACAATGACGCGCGTCGCTGTCGACGGCAAATTGCTCCTCGTCTCGCAGTACCCGCAACTCGGCCCACGCAAAGTCGATCCAAACGACTTGAGTCCGCAGTTCGACGCCGACCGCCGCATCTCCGTGCGGATGCGCCACGTGGATCTCGCCTATTTGGTGAGTGTCTGCGAGAGCCGAATGGCAAAGCATCACATGGAGAATAAGGCGTACACACTCGACTTTGAAAAGTCTAACGATGGCTATCGTCTGCACGGTAAGGTGCATCGCGTGGCCTCACAGAAGATGGAGGACTGGTCTGTGAACTTTGACAAACACTTTGCGGTCATGCTGGAGCACTTCTTGCAGAGTGCACTCACGGAGAGTTTCGGTTTCCGCCAGCACTACGCAGCCCGCGCGGTGGAGGGTGACGCACAAGGCGCGAACGCCGCATTAGGCAACACCGGCAGCCCACGGCGTAGACAACAACAACAACAACAACAACAACAACAACAGCAGACACCACGACGACAACAACAACAACAGCAGCAGCAATGAGAGAAAAGAAAAGAGAGAGAGAGAGATTGAAGGAGATAGAGTGAGTGAAAGAGAGACTAAACAGTATGAAGGTGAAAAAGAGAGGAAATTAAAAGAATAAAAGGGTGATGATGAGAGAAGATAGAAAAAAAATGAAGGAAAGAAAGGAGGAGGGGGAAAAAAAGTGCACCAGATCTGAGCAGGTCGGACGAGATAACCCGAAACGGGAGTATTTGAGTGTTTGACATATATATATATATATATATATATATATGAATCGTACACTCTAGTAGATACCTTTTTTTTCTCTTTTTTTTTATTTTATTTTTTTCTTTTCGCTATTCTTTCTCATATTTTGCACACGTGGAGACGTGTTTTTTGCTTCACACGAAGGGGGCAAGATCGGAGAATTATTTTTCTGTACTGCACATTCTGGTGTGAGATCAAACCGGCTGTTACTGTTTCTCTTTCTGTTGTTGCTTACAATCTGTTCGTTTATCTCTCCTTTTTTTTGTTCTGTGTTGGCTGAGGTGAAAATCATTTTTATTTTTTGTTCATTTCTTTCTTTGTTCTTCTTTTCTTCTTCTGGTTTGACTAATTTCTCATGTATTTTTCTTCTTTCTTGTCTTTCTTCTCTTTCTTTTATGTGATGGTGAATGTGGCTTTTTCGCTACTCCGCTGCTATCATGGATAGATAACAAGGCAAGGCCATACTATCGATTCTTTTTATTATTGTGTGCCTCTGCATTATTTTTATTTCCAGCCGAATTAAAGAAAAAAAAAAAAAACATAAAATAATAAACATAAAAATAACGAAATAAAGGAAAAAAAGAAAACATCCATAAAAAAAGAAAAAAAAAAGAAAAACAGGAATAAAAACAACAAAAAAAGAAAAAGAAAGGGTTCGGTGTTAAATTTATCAATATGTGGCGCAGACGTATTTTCTCTTCCGCTGACCTTCTCCGTGCGGCGGTGAGCACGCGGTCTCTTTTTGTACGGGACCTCCGCACACGTGTGGAGATCACTAATGGGAAGAAGACATACCCGGCGGTCCTCCTCTGGCGCTGGAAGAGTGACCGCCAGCGGCATCTCGTGCTTAGCGTTCACCGCCCCGATGAAATTACTGCGGAGGATGAGTCATTATCCCTGTTAACATCAGCAACAGCAGCATCTGGGCAGCGTAAATCGGAGTCTTCCTCATCAGAAACTCCCACAGAGGCGGATTATTTCTTTGGACGTGTCTTTCTCAGACCATACAATGTGGCACAGTTTCTTACCGTATTGGAGGGTACTACCCCACATCTTGAGTTAGTGAAAGAACATTCTACACTTCATCTAGAACCTCTGTCGACTAATGCTTTAAAACAAAAAGGTATTCGTGGTAAAAATCTTCAGAAGAGTAATGATGCAAGACCTGCATTCCCTTTGGCTTTTTCACTTGTGGGAGAATTAACACTTAAAGTAGCACCTTCTCAAGCTAAACTTAATACAGAAGAAAATGATGAAGAGGTTGGAAATAAAGACCTTTATGCTGATGGAGACGAGAAGGAAGATACCATTTCAGGTGCAACCTATAATCTAAACGATCGCCGTACTTTTCGTGCAACTGTAGAAGGGGCGGACCTTATCCTCATTATGAAACATCTTAACGCTGTCTTGAGTGATATGTTTGGTATTGAACACCAATATCACTCTCGGGTGGTCCATGATGTTCTTCGTAAGCACAGTAGAGGTAATAATTATTCATTAACGCAGCATTCTGGAAAAACTATTTTAACCCTTCCCCGTTACAGAAGTGAAGTTGAGGAGAATAAAATGGAAGAAACTCCTGTAACACAAAAACCAACAGAGATGACAAACAGTAATACTCTTAGTGGAACAGGTGTTGCGGCAGCGGCAGCAATGGCTGGACTCGCTGTTGGAGCCGCAGCCGCAACAGCACTCTCTGCAGACAAAAAGAATCTATCAATGCTTGAAGACGGTAATGACGATGTGGACGCAGAAGAAAATGTGGTGGATCTATTTGAGGATGATGTTGAAGAAGAGAATGGGGCGAAATCCAAATCATTAGGGGTTTCTTCCCGTCGTTTTGCCAGTGACATTGACAATGATAAGGAAAATGAAAGGGAAGAGGGAGTACAGGGAAAGATTGATGAAGAAGAGGATGATGATGATGAAGAAGAGGAGGAAGAAGAAGAAGAAGAGGGTGAGCCTGGTGAAGATGAAGATGAAGAGGATGTTGAAGAAGAGGAAGAAGATGATGATGTGGAAGAGGAAGAAGAGGAAGAGGACGAAGAAGTGGAAGAAGATGAAGAAGAAGATGGGGATGATAATGAAGAAGAAGATGAGGAGGATGTTGAAGAAGAAGAAGAAGAGGAGGAGGAAGAGGAAGAAGAGGAAGAGGAGGAAAAAAAGAAAACTCCTCCACCAACACCACCACGTCGTCGTTAGGTACTTATTTGTATAAGTATAGAGACTGTGGAAAAGTGACAAATAGATTATTTTGATAGAAGCAGTCATTTGACTGTATTTATTTTTATTGTTTCCTCTGTGTTTGTGTCTCTCTCTATATATATATGTGTGTATGTATGTGGGCATACATATTTTATTCTAACTCACTGTTGTCACACATCACTCTACGTGTGTAGAGTCATACTGGTAGAGTTTCTACATTTTGCAGAATTAGCACTTCTGCTGCTGCTGCTGCTGCTGCTATTTACAACTTTGTTTTCTTCTGCATAGTGTTACAACTATATATGTATATATATTATATTTATGTATCTAATGTGGAAGTATATCTGAAAAATTTATTATTTTTTCCTTTTCTATTTTTTAATCCCTCTCTCTTTAATGAATATTTCTATTGTAATGTATTTATATATTTATTGAAGAAGAACAAACAAAGCACAATAATATTAAAGAAAAACAAAACCCAAACAAAACCAAAAAAAAGAAATCAAAACAAATCATGCCACGACTTCCATTACTTGCACAGTTTTGGTTCCTCGTGTCAGCTCCTGTTGTAATCATTGATGCCATTTTTGTTTGCATGCGCTCTAAACTGGGAGATACTCCACATCCCCTTGCAGATACACCACCGTTCAATTATTGGATGATATACGCTACATATGATCAACGATATGCGCCTAACGATGACGCATTTGTGGTGGTTCAAAGTTGGCTTAATTTATTAGAGGTATTTCTTGGATTATTGGCGGTATTACTCTCTTGGAGAGGAAACCCAAGCTGTAGTATAAAGTTAGCTCTCATTGTAAGTGTAATGACATTGTATAAAACTATTATGTATTTGTTAATGGATGTTGTTGAGGGTGGAAAGTATACACACCACAATGAACCCATGGACACTCTAAAGATGGTAGTGCTGCCCAGTTTGGTGTGGGTTGTGATGCCGGCAGTGGTGATCATGCAATGTGTGCGACGTCTCTCTTTTGCGGCCAACAGTAACGCAGCGGCAACACGAAAACAGAAAAAAGGATAAAAAAAAAAAAACCCAGAATAGAAGAAAAAAAAAGAAAAAAAAAAGAAAGAGAGACTCATGTTAGAAATAAACCAAAAAAAAGAAAGAAGGGAAGAAAAAAAGAAGGTTAGGTATTATCTTCGAGGTGAATAGTATTTTTCTTCGACATTTGATGTAAAAACAAGTGAGTGACGAGTTTAAATTTGATCTGGGAATAGAGAGGGGGTGGTGTAAAGAGTCGCAAAAGCAAAAGAAAGGGTTCACTGAAAAGGAAAAAAAAAAAACAAAAGAAAAAAAAAAAAAACAATTTTTTTGTACATTGTTTCTTGTCTATGACTTGAGAAATGTGAGAGAATTAACCTAATACTTTACTATTGTATGGCCTTCTTTTTCCTTTTCTCTTTTATTTATTTATTTATTTATTTATTTTTATTTCCTTACTTTTGATTTGAAGTAATTCTCTCAGTCGATAATAAGGGGAGGAAGTGAGATCCTTCTACTCACCTATATGTTGTACCGATTTGCTCATCAACGGACTGCATGCCGATCATGCGTCCGTACTTTTCTCGTGATGTTTTTATTTCTACTCCACTTAACTGGAGGCACTGCGGAAGAAGAAATAGAAACAATTTATTTACAGGAGGGACAGGAACAGAATAGCGGCACTGATGAGTCCTCATCCACAAGAGGTGTAGAGTTGCTTGCAATTAGTGGCTGTAAACGACCTTCACGGCCTGGGCGGAGTAGAGAAACATATCATTGCTTCGCTGGTCGTAAGAATAAAGGACCTGTGCAACTCTTTATTCGTGGACGGGGATTTCCAATAGATACTCCACTGCGTATTCGATTACAAGAACACACACCACTTCCACTTCGTGAGGATGAGAAAAGTAATGCCGATCTTATTACAATGGAATGCCTTGATGTGAAAGCATCGGAGGTGTTTCCTCATCAAATTCTTTCCTGTATACTTCCTCACCCATCAGTGAGTCTACGAGGAAAATCACAGTGGTTAAAACGACTTTCACATAATATAGTATGGATGGATCTTGAATTGATTGTAGATACAAGTATTTCAGATTCTGAGGTTAATGACACTTCAATAACCATAGGTATTCTTCATCATTCTGTTCAGTTGGATCTTACACTTAGATCAGGAAACTCCATAGATGGTAATTTGAATAATGAGAATATTCTTGCTAATGAGGATAAAGAAATGTCTGATGATGATCCACTAGAACTTTTTTTACAGAAAAGTCATCGTAAATCTTCTAATGGAGAAGAATGGCTCTCACTTGGTATAGGTGGATTAAAAAATCAATTAGAATTACTATACCGTCGTGTTTTTCTTAGCCGTATTTCTTCTCTTCAAGATGTTGTTGGTTCTGTTCAGTTACCACATGTGCGAGGAGTTATGTTGCATGGTCCACCTGGAAATGGAAAAACTTTAATTGCTCGAGCAATCGCAAAGTTACTTGGTAAGAATACAAAGGTAACAATTGTAAATGCTGCTGATATTCTCTCAAAGTATGTTGGAGATTCGGAAAAGAATTTGCGTGATCTCATCCTTGGAGACGATGATGATGATGAAGATGATGATGGTAGTAATGATTATAATGATGGTGGTTATAGTTATGGTGATGATAATGATAATGGTGTTAACGATGACAATGTGAATGAAAACAGGGATGACTTCAATACTGAAGTTCAAGAAGATAACGATATAGGAAATGAGAAAAAGGAAGGACGATTACATACCATTATTATTGATGAAATTGAATCTCTTTTTAGACGGCGAGGTGAATCAGGTGATGGAAGTTCGGCGAAAGCTGTATATGATGGTTTAACCAATCAACTTCTTACACTTATGGATGGTGTTGATAGGGTACCTAATATACTTATTGTTGGTTTAACCAATCAACTTCACAGCATTGATCGTGCTCTCCTTAGACCTGGAAGGTTTGAAGTAGTTATTGAAATTCCTCTTCCTGATCTTGAGGGTCGTACAGAAATGCTTTTTATCCACACACAAAAGTTACGAGAGGAGCAACACCTTGCACCGGATGTAAATTTAGATAACTTAGCAGCACGTACAGGAGGTTTTTCTGGTGCTGATATTGCTGGAACAGTTCGAGCCGCTGTCAGTTATGCTTTAATGAGATACCGTGATATGATGGAAGATGATACTTCTGTAGGAAATAATAATCTAGGTAAGGAAGGTGATTTGCGTACTGAAACTTCTCCAAAACAATTTCAAGTTACGAGTGATGATTTTAATCTCGCCATACGGGATATGTTGGATTCCATGCAACAAATTTTATTAGGAAAACAATATAATGGTGCAGATAAGGATGATTCCACTACACCACTTATTGACTTTGATGGATCTATTACTCAAGGCATAAATACTACACGTCGTGTATTGCAGAGTATTCAACGTAGTCAAGCAGAACATGCGGCCGTAGTGATTGTTTACGGACCTTCTGGAACTGGAAAAACTTTTCTTTCACAACAATTAGTGAAACTTTTGCCCTTTGATATTGTTAAGTTTATAGTGAGTGGTAAACTTTACGGAAGTATGAGAGGAGATAATATTATAGATGAGGTTATCATTGGCCTTCGTGAAGCCGTTAACTCTAAAGGAAATTATAGTCTTGTCATTGAAAATGTGGAACGAATCCTTAATGAGGGTGGATCAACAACATGGGATGTTTTAAAAACAACTATTCGAGATTTTAAAGAATCTGCTTATACCCCTTCTTTACTTTATGAAGGAGAAACAAAGAAACTTCATGGGAAACGACTTTTGATTGTAACAACATCAGAGAAAGAGACTTTGCATAGTTTAATGCACTCTATCGAATATGATGTGCAATTAACACTTCACTTTATTCAACGAAAAGATCTTCTGGAATTATTACAAAATTATGGTATTCTCCCTTTAAATGCAGAGATGGCAAATGAAGTGGTTAATTCTTATCCACCAATGCTGAGCTATCGTCAATTTCTACGTATAACGGATCTTGCCTTGTGGAGGGCACATGACGCCGAAGTAAAGGTAAAAACAGCTCTTGATGCTAGTGATCATCATCATCATCATCATCAGACTACTTCTGTGTACTCCTCTTTAAATGCTTTCTTTCATAAAGGTGGGAAATTGCAAAAAGGAGCAAGTAAAAATGCTGTACCCTCTCTCGATACCAAGGAACGTCAAAAGCAATTTAGTATGGCGGTTCGAGATGTCGTGACATTGATGGGCTTGTCAGACGTCTTTGATGATCTTCCAACAGAGAATGATGTTGTTGAAGGTGATGAGGTTTATTGGTAGTCTTTTACGACATACTTAGAAGGATTTAAACACAAAACAAAACAACAACAAAAAAAAAGTCTTATCTACCTTAACTATAATTGTTGTACTGGTTGGTTTATCTCGTCTCCAATCCGTTGTTTTTTATTTTATTTTTCTTTAACGTATGGAGTCTTCCATCCTGTGTATGTATGGATTTGTTTGTTTTCTTTCTATATGCATATTCTATGGTTCTTTTGTTTCGCTGTGTGTTTCCTCTCATATTTATTTTATTTTCCTTTTCCCCCTCGATTCGATTATGATGATGATTATATTATTGTAGTATAGGGTATAACCTTTTAAGAGGGATTTATTTCATAGTAAAGTATGTTTCGAGGGTCTCGGATCTTTCTTTGCACAATTAACGTCGCCTCTGGCGTAACGGGTGCTGCTGCTGCTACTACTACAACTACCACTTCTGGTAATGCCGGTACTTCTTCGCATAATAAAATTGCACGACCATTGTATTTGGATGTTCAGGCAACGTGTCCATTGGATCCACGTGTGCTTGATAAGATGATGCCTTACTTGACAGAGTGTTATGGGAATCCCCATAGCCGAACTCATAGTTATGGTTGGAAAGCAGAAGATGCGGTGGAGAAGGCTCGTGCACAGGTAGCAGATCTTATTGGAGCTAGTCCAAAAGCTGTATTCTTTACTAGTGGTGCAACAGAGTCTAATAATATTGCCATTAAGGGAGTGGCTAACTATAATAAAGGAAAAAAGAATCATATTGTAACACTTCAGACAGAGCATAAATGTGTTCTTGATTCTTGTCGTTATTTGGAGATGGATGGATTTGAAGTGACATACTTACCTGTTGAAAAGAATGGTCTTGTTAATCTTCAAACTCTAGAGGAAGCAATTCGACCAACTACTGCCCTTGTTTCTTGTATGTATGTGCATAATGAGATTGGTGTTATTCAACCTATAAGTGAAATTGGTAAGATATGCCGAAAAAAGAAGGTTTTCTTCCATACAGATGCTGCCCAAGCGTTAGGTAAAGTACCTATTGATGTGGAGCGTGATAACATTGATCTTATGTCACTTTCATCACATAAAATATATGGACCTAAAGGATGTGGTGCTCTTTTCTTAAGACGTCGTCCACGTGTACGTGTGCGTTCGCCTATCAGTGGTGGTGGTCAAGAACGTGGTGTACGAAGTGGGACGATCGCAACAGCGCAAGTAGTTGGCATGGGTGCCGCCTGTGAAATAGCAAAGGCGGAAATGGAGCGTGATAGAACCCGAATTAAGGCACTTTCTAAACGGTTACTAGAGGGTTTGCAGAGTCGTTTACCACACATAACTGTTAATGGAGACTTGCATCAACGTTATCCTGGTAATCTCAACATTAGCTTTGCCTGTGTGGAGGGCGAAAGTCTTTTGATGGGTATGAAAAATGTGGCTGTCTCAAGCGGAAGTGCCTGTACAAGTGCTTCACTGGAACCCAGTTATGTTCTCCGTGCACTTGGCATTGATGCTGAAAATGCGCATACTTCAATTCGATTTGGTATTGGACGTTTTACCACAGAACGAGAAATTGATTTCACCATTGAGGAGTGTGTTCGTAATGTTGAGCGGCTGCGGGAGATGTCGCCTCTGTGGGACCTGCTGCAAGAGGGAAAAGGATTGTCGGATGTACAGTGGCGGTAATGTGTGTGGGTATCTAAAGTACAGATAGATTGCTCTTGTATAGGTGTTTATATGAGCGATGAAGAGAATGGTGGGACGAAATGAGAACGGAAATATGAGGGTTGTTGATACGAGGAAAAGGAAAGAAGTAAAATGAAAAAAAAAAAAGGATGTGTAGCTGAAGAGAGGTGGGGAGTTGGGGGAAAAAGTGCAAATGACGAAGTTGAAAAAGAAAATAAAAAAAAGAAAGAGGAACATCATCTTTCTGGTTTTATTTTTCTTATGTCCTTGCAGTCGTGGTTTTTTTTTTTTTTTTTTTTTTGTTTTTTTTTCCATTTCCTGTGGGGTTCCTTTCTTTTCTCTACGACAGGATTTAAGGATTACATTGCGTAGCGCATTTTTTGTTATTTTTCTTTTATAACGTTCTACAGGATATTTCCTAAAAGAAAAGCATATATATATCTATGCAGTCGTAGAAGAAAAGTAATCTTTTTTCAGGTATATATATATATATACGATATATTTCGCAAAGTAGTTATTCGACATTGAAAGCATTCGGTGAAGTTAGACCAATAACAACAACAAAAAAAAAAAAAAAGGCGAGAAACGAAGGTCTAATTGTTTTTTTTTTTTGTCTCTTCTTCTTCTCTGTTTCTTTCTCTGCTTAATTCTTATCCGAAGGTGTATAAGAAAGGCCCCATGTCCAGTCAGATGCGACGTCTGATGAGAAAGCGTGCCTCTGAGTATAATTCTGGTAATCATCAACGGCAGCCGCCGTATAATCGCAGAGATGGAGATGATGAATACTCCAATACACGGAGAGGCCGACGGAATAATGGGGATGGGGATAACAACACAACACAAACAAACAGACGACCACGTAAAGAAGGAGAATCAGAAACAAGTGGAGCTAAAGAAAATGAAGAGATTGAACGTCTTGGAATTATTCCAAAGGTTACACTTGATGATATGGGTGGACTTGCAAAGGAAATTCCAATTATAAAAGAATTAATAGAACTTCCTATTCGTTCTCCTCATTTGTTTAGTCGTCTTGGTGCGGATCCTCCGTGTGGTGTTTTGTTGCATGGTCCACCTGGTTGTGGGAAAACGAAATTGGTACATGCCATAGCTGGATCATTGCAAGTTCCATTATTCTTTGTTGCAGCACCGGAGATTGTTTCTGGTATCAGTGGTGACAGTGAGGCAAAACTACGAAATCTTTTCATGGATGCTATTAGTGCGGCACCAAGTATTGTGTTTATTGATGAAATTGATACAATTGCCGGTCGTCGTGATCAAACACAACGTGGAATGGAAAGTCGCATAGTAGGACAATTATTAACATGTATGGATCAAGTGGCACAGGCATGGCGACAGGAAAATAAAGTGGTTTGTGTAATGGGAGCTACAAATCGTCCAGAGGCATTAGATACTGCCCTAAGACGTGCTGGTCGTTTTGATCGTGAGATTTCTCTTGGTATTCCTACACTGGATGAACGACAAAGTATTTTAAAAATTATTTGTCAGAAGTTAAATGTTGCCGACGATGTGGATTTTTTTGAACTTGCAAATATGACACCTGGATACGTTGGGGCAGATCTTCACCTTCTTGTTAAGGAGGCTTGTATTTTGGCTATTCGTCGAAAACACAATGAATTGGAGGCAATAGGTGAATTGGATAACCCAAATGCAGAAGCTCTCACTTCTTTTGATGTCACATTTAATGAAATGAAAGAAGCAACAAAACGGGTACAACCAAGTGCAATGCGTGAAGGTTTTACTACTATTCCAAATGTTACTTGGGATGATGTTGGAGCTCTTGAGGATGTACGTGAGGAATTACTTACTTGCATATTACAACCTATTCGTGCACCTAAACTACACAAACGATTTGGATTAGATCATCCAGTTGGTGTTTTATTATATGGACCTCCAGGATGTGGTAAGACTCTTGTGGCAAAGGCTATAGCAAATCAATCAGGTGCAAATTTTATTTCCATTAAAGGACCTGAATTGCTAAATAAGTTTGTTGGTGAAAGTGAACGAAGTGTACGTATGGTGTTTGCTCGAGGTCGTGCAAGTGCACCTTGTGTTCTTTTCTTTGATGAATTAGATGCCCTGGCACCTCGTCGTGGTTCAGATCGTGCAAATCCCAGCAGTGAACGTGTGGTAAATCAGCTCCTTACGGAGATGGACGGTGTAGAAGGTCGAGCGAACGTTTATGTGATTGGTGCTACTAACCGACCTGATATGATTGATCCCGCCATGTTGCGACCTGGGCGTCTTGATAAATTACTTTACGTGCCTCTTCCCTCTCCACAACAACGGGCATCTATTTTGTGCACACACGCCCGTCATTACCCTGTGGACACATCAGTGGATTTAAACATTATTGCCGGTGATAAACGTTTACAGGGATTTAGCGGTGCTGATTTGGCAGCACTCATGCGAGAGGCATCTCTGCACGCACTGAAGAAAGTATACCGATCTTCTAGCAGCGAAGTATTGGAGCAGTTGGAGCGAGATATGAGTGGAGAGGTGGCGGCGAATGCAGATTTACCATCTGTGTGCATTGAAGACTTTGAGGCCAGTTTGGCAAAGGTAAAGCCATCTGTTTCTGAAGAGGATAGGACAGGCTATGAGTCTTTACATCGCCAAATCACACAGTCAGCTCAGAGTACAGGGTAAAGACTGAATAATTAAAGTTGTCTTTGCTCTCTTTATTATTATCTCGTTTCTACGTCCATTTGTAATTGTATAAATGGTACTCGTGTAATAGCTTATTATTAAATGAAATGAGGGCTAAGAAAGAAAGAAAGAAAGAAAGAAAAAAAAAAGAAAGGGGGATTGTAATTACCCTGTAGTGTTGCAGCCCTTTTTTTTTAAAAAAAAAAAATGAGGAACTGGTTTGCTGCATGTTATCATTTTCTTTTGTCGTCAATAAAATTCCTATTTGAGTGAACTTTATTTCCCCACATCTCTTTTTTTCTTTTCTACTTTTTTTTCTCGGATTAGGAATAGAAGGAATTCTTGGCCCCTTCCTCCTTCTTTTCCATCACCTTGTACACTTTTTTTTTGGTTTTGTTCTGTTAATACATTAAAACAGAACACTAACACCAACAAGAAAGAAAGAAAAAAAACTAGGAGGAGGAAATAAAATTAAACATATATTAATTAAATGTTTTTCCGCTCACCACTTCTGTTAGCGCTGCCAAAGGTAGAAAGACGTAAGCGTAAGGGGCAACCAACGCGGCCGGGATTGCCAGATCTACCAAAGAGTGCTGGTGGTTACGTATTCCGGGAACTGCGACCATATCTTCCTATTGCGTGGCAGTATGGTTGGCGATGGAAATTGCTGCAGAGTATATGGTTAGGCGCGGGTCTCTCACTTGCTGGATCTTTAATGTACGTTATGTACTTTAGAGACTCTGAAGAAGATATCGCCCGCAAGGCGGCATGCTACACATATGTGCGCAATGAAAAGGGGGAGGTGGTAGATATTGGGTATAAACCGTTGATTGATGCCACTCGTCGTGCCCAGCGACGAGCTCAGCGTTTGTTGGATGAAGAGGAAGATGAGTGAGTGAGAGAGAGGGAGAGAGAGAGAGTTATATATATATTGTTAATTTCTGTTTGATGAAACAGTTATTTGGTGATCTGATTATTGTTTGTTTTCCTTTATTCTCCTCTGACGGCATATGAAAGGCATGCCGAGTGTTTTTAATTTTTTCTTTTCTTTTTTTTTTCGTTATGTGTTTGTATTACAATCTCTACTTAATAATAAGAATTATTATTATTATTGTTACCAATTTTTATTTTTATTTTATTTTCTCTTATTTTTATTCTGAGGTGATTAGAGGTAGTCCTTGGGTTTTTACTCTGCACAGTTTCTCCTTTTTAACCCCACAGTGAACAAGAGAGAGAAAGAAAGTGTGTGTGTTTGTCTGTGGAGCAAGCATAAAGACTTATTGCCATTCAGTTTTTTTTTTCCAATAACAGGTGAAGTAAGAACGGAAAAAAAGAAAAAATTATACTAAAGAATCAGTAGACAACAGTCAAAAAAAAAAAAAAAAGAAGGCTAACTCAGTAGTGATGTCCCAGCAACGTGAAGATGTTGTGTTAGAGATAGCGACGATGCTTCTCACGGAACAACACAGTCAAATTCTCCAGCGATATCACAATCATGTCCTCTTTTTACAGGATGCCTTCTTTAGTGCTGAACAGCAAAAACAAGAATCATTTGACTTGGCATGTACATTTCTACTTTTGCCTGTTGCGACCCCAAGTTCTCTCACTTCGGCCCAAATTGAAGAATTTGAACAACGATGGCAGTGTCTTGTACGTATGTTTGAAACAACATGTCAAGATGAAATTAAATTGTTTCGATCTGATGGGGATGCACTAAAGCAGCAGATGAATCAAATCATTGCAGTATCCGGTGAAAAATGGAAAAAAGCAGAAAGACGCCGTCAGGATGATTTTATGGAAATGTCTATTGCATGCCAGAAGGAAGTTGCTGCAATTACAGCAGAACTACAATCAGGGGTATTACGTTATTTTCAGGATTCTCGAATGAGTACCGTATTGGAAGAAGCATTGCGTGCAAAAGTAGATGAGATGCGAGAGTTGAATAGTCAATTGGAGGAGTTAACAGAATTACGCCTAAAAGACTTCACTGAACACCAAAAAACTTTACAGGAGGAAAGAGAAAAGTATCGACAACGATTTATCTCAGTACAACAAGAGACTTCTAAGACGGTTGAGGAACTCACAATAGAGATTGAAGAACGACAAAAACAATATATGCGAGAGGTACGGGAAATGCAACGTCAACATACATCACGTCTAGAAGTGTTAGAAAAACAACTTGAGGATGAACGAGAAGAACGTGAAGCCGAGCGCAAACATCACACAGAGGAAATGGATCGTTATCGATCCACCGTAAAAAAATTAGAAGAGGAAAGGACACAGTTAACACAAGGAACAGTAGAACTTCAAACACAGATAGATGAATGGCGTCGCCGATACTCTGAACGGGATTCACAAGCAAAGATGGAGTTAATTGAATATCAAACACTTGCAGAGGCATTACGAGTAGAAGAAGCGCAAGAGTTTCGTAAACAATTAGTTGGAGCGGTTCGCCGCGGTGTAACCTCATCTGTTGCGGCACTTGCATCTATCGCAACTTCTCCTCCAGCAACCACAACAGCAATGAGCGGCCATAGTAACAACTCCATATCGCCTATGGTTTATAAGAATGACAATCATGTCTCTCCTTCACCTAAAGGGGATCGATCGTTTCTGTGGAAATCAACGGCTAATGGTGTTCAGTCCCGTAATGAAAATACAACTGGGGATTTTTTTTCTGTTCCCTACAAGGATGAAAGTCGTCCCACACCGTTTACATCCAATGTAAGAGAAAATCCATCTTCAAATCCTCTTGTTAATTTACCAGTTCATACCCCAACGGCAAGTTATGTCAAACTCATGAACTTATCTGAGCAGTTAAAAAGGCATATTGAGCTTCAGTAAAAAAAAAAAAAAAAGTAAAATGTGGAGCTTTAGGAGTTATAAAATGGACGATCTTAGCGATACGGTAGTGCTGGTGAGCCATACTGGCTTATTATTTATTTTTAAGTTTATCGACTTCTTCTATTTTTTTTTTTTTATTTCTATTTATTTACCCATATTACTGTATATAATCGGTACCCCTTTTGAAAGATAAAATCAATTAATAGTACCGATTGGTATTACCTTTCTCTTTTATTTTTGATAAAATGTTTTGGATTATTTTTTTTTTATTTGTTTCTATTTCAGTGATATTATTTCTTGTCAATTGTGTATCGTTTGGAAAAAAAAAAAAAAAACTATTGCTAATAGCTCTTTTAATCAATGTAGTTTTTCCTATCCTTGTTGTTTTTCTTTCGTTACTGGATCTTTTTTAAAAATCTTTTTTTTTTCTACAGATAGTGATCTCCAGAGGGAGGCATCAACTAAAGCCTCTCATAAGAGGGGACCAACTCCACAGAAAAAAGAAAACAAAAAGTAGGAAGGAGAGAAATAAAGAAAGCCGAAAAAACCAAAAAGAAAAAGGCAAGTGAGAGAAGTGATAGGTTTAAAAAAACTACATCAACAGTATCATTTTTTTTTATTATCATCGTTATATTTCAGTATCAGTATTAGTAGAACTGATAGTAGTAGTAGAATACTGCTCTTGTAGTCTGTGCTGTCATTCCCTATTGTTATTATTATTATTATTATTATTATTATTATTATTATTCCTATGAGTGAACATACCGAACAATCTCTGACGTTTGACTCAGAGAGCAGCGGGCCACGTCCACCCGCATCTGCAGCCACCACCACCGCCGCAGCCGGCCCATCTAGCTCCTACCACAGAAACAATAGCAATAGTAACAGCAATATCAATCTCAGCAATATCATAGGCAGTACCAACAATCTTAGCTCTGCCAAGAGTCACACCTACAGTCCCATCTACAATCACCATAATAAGAACGGCTCTATCGCTAATGCTTCTGCCACGGCTGATCTTGCCTCTTCCAAACAGCCGGGTACGAGCAATATGAGTACCGCCGCATTACCACTCTCTTCACTTAGTTTCGGTCGAGGTAACTCTATTTTACAGTATAGTAGAAAGAGAGGAGGTCCTATGACTTTATATGTGCGTGCGGCGAGTAGTGATGATTCGGATACATCTGTATTGCCTGCAGATACAAGAGATGATGTTACGAGTGCTGTTGCGCAAGTGAATGAAGAGACACCTGATGAAAGTGCACAAGATGAATCTGTCACATCGTATATCTTCAATATGTTAGAAATGGGGGCTAGTTCAATACATAATTTAAAGAATGTAATCCCTGATATTCTTCGACATCCACAGAAAACTCGTTTTGTTACAGAAATTCTTGTTTTTGTATTCTTTTTTATTACATTTATTTTTCTTCTTGGGGTCACTCAAGAAAGAATTGAATGGATGGCTAAAATATCTGCATACAATAATGAGCAAGGTCTTTTGGTTAGTACAAGCCTTACAGAAGAGTTACTTGAAAAATCAAATGAGTTAAATGAACTTAAGATGCCGATTAAACGAACTTCTCCAGATGTTTTAGAGAAAGCATCTATGCTAATGAAGAATATCTCCGATTCTCGGGAAATTAGTGTAAAACTTCTCCATTCACGTCTTCTTTATCCAGGTCCTGTGGAAGATATTAAATTTCTCTTAGAGGAACATGTGGCCTATAAGATAAATTTAGCACGATTAGTGAGAGAAGAATTGGAATGGCTTGATAAGAAAAAGCAAATTCTCATAGGAAATAGAGATTCACCTGTTGAGAGTCAAGTGAGGTTAAAACCAAAACAGAAATCTCAATGGTATCAACAGAAATCTCAAAAACAACATAAACAACAAGATTTAAAACAACAACAACAAATCCGACAAGAAAAACGTACAGAACAACATTCAAAATCAGAAGTTATGTTACAACCTGCACGTAAAGAAGGTATGGTATCTAGTGTGGAATTATTTGATACTGGGTTAGTGAATATTTTCGTTTCATCTCTACAATATCGTGTAGTAGCATTTTTTATTCTTATTTTTCTTGTAATGCTTTACATACGATTATTTTAGATGTAAACACTACTTTTCTGTGTACGATATTTGTTCTTTTTTTTTTTTTACCACATTTATTACGACATTGACTCTTTTTTTTTTATGATTTTCGTGGAAATAAGAAGGGAAATCACTTAATTCCTTTCTTTTCATGAAGTATATGTCCTTTTCCATTATCTCTCATTATCTGTTCCTCGTTCTTTTTCCCTTTTCTCCTTGTATATATATATATATATATATATGGATGCATCTATGCATGTATGTATGCCTAAATTACTTTTCTTTCTTCTTTTTTTTCTTTTTCATTTTCTTTTGATCTTTGAAAGTACGGGGTGGTGTAGACACGCTACACAGAACTCTTATATTTTTCTTTTGATTTTCTATATTGCCCCCCAAAATCAAGAAAAAAAGAGAGATAAGGGGGTGAAAAAAAAAAAAAAAGTCTCTCTCCCTCTCTGTGTCTGACTCTCTGTAGGATATTTCATATCCAACTCTATTGCGTTAAATAAAGAAAAAATAAAAAATAAAATAGTGAAAGGCCCAATGCTTCGTAGATTTGCTGTTGGGTCTACTGTTTTAGTTCACATGCGGTTTGACGGCTCCGGTGAGGGAGAAGCACAAGAGGCTGTTCGTTACAAAAAACTCCCGTCAAGTATGCAGCCAAAACCTTTACCAAACAATTTCACTCCATTTCCACTTCCTAAATACGATGAGGATTTGGGATTTGGTCCTGTACGTCTACGCAATATTCCTGATATTGAAAAGGCGAAACAGCGAGAAAAGCAAAAAGAAGTAGCCGTTATGGAATCTATAATGGAAGGGGAAATGGGAAATGAACAACTACAAGAGAGTTCTACTTTACAGCTACAAACAAAAAAAGAAGAAAAGGATGAAGAAATATTACATTCATTTTCTTCTGAAGAATTATCTTTTTCTTCTTCATCAGGAGATGCATTGGGTGGATATTCTGTTTCCAGTGATTACCCGCTTATTGATCGTTTATATTGTGAACGTTCACTGGAGGATCTTCTCTCACAGTTTATGGATAGACCACAAGTTGAAGCCCGTTCTGCCGCTTTAGCAGATATGGCTTCTACTATTCAACACCGCACAGATGAGGAATTAGTGCGAATGTTTGAAGAGATTAGTAGTCCTTTTACCCCTGATGGGAGAGGACTTAATTTCCTTGGAACTGTAGTTCGTAAATATGGTAGACCTTTTCGAGTTACTACTTCTCTTCTTACTGCTTACGTAAATTTGGTAAATGCAGCTTCTGTTGTTTTTGTACAAGAACAACCTTGGAGACTTTCAAATAATCCAAAATTGATAATACAACTTTTACATTTTATGGCCTTAATTAAAATATTTGAACCTAATAAATGGTTTACTTTCTCTAATCATGCACCTTCTAATCGAGCCGATTATAAACATCCACGAGGAACCAATAAAAATACGGCCTTTTGGTGTACAGGTGAAGATCTATTTGATCATATGCTCTGGTTAATAGAAGAAGGAGAAGGCGAAGAAAAATCATTACTATTGGATTTATGCAGTAATGATCAATTGGTTGATTTATTGAATGGTTTTGCAGCTGTGATGCCGGATGGTAAAGCGATTGGTAGTGTTTTTAATTCTATTATGAAGATATTTGTACAACGTATACAAATGCATCCTAACGATTCATGGAAACCTGAAGATATAGCTACTATTGAACGTATGTATTTTACATCTGTTATGGCTGATTCTAGTAATAAAGATTTATTAAAATTTTTATTAAATAATACTATTTATCCTCGAGGTGCTGATTTCTTTGCTGCCGTTTCACGAGAGAGAGATGAAATGGTACATGAAAAAGCTCTTTCAATGTTACAGGAATCCATAGATAAATCCAATAAAGAGGGAGATACATCTACTTTATTAGCGTTACTAGAGAGTGGATCAGAGTTGTTACTATCAATCTCTAATAAAGACATTGCGTATAATTTTGCGATGAGGAATGAGTTTGATCAAAGGATTCTTAAATCTTTTACTTACTTTGATGTTATTGCTGAGAAACTGCAAGTAGAACAATCACGTATTAGTGCACAAATTCCAGTTTCATTACGAGATGTACAGGTACAGTTGTGTTCTAGTATGAGAGAAAATGTTTTATCTGCATCCGAAACAATGAAAACATCCTTAGATTCTCTCCCAAATTATTTAGCTAAACATCCTAAACGTCGTTTTTCACAATCTTTGAGAACAATGTTATCTCAATTAGAGTATTTAAACAGTATGGATTCTGTTTTTTTACTTCACTCTTCATTAATGACGACCTCAACAGATCAACTTATCTCTGCTGTACGTCGACTTCCTACTGGAAAAGATAGTTTGATAGTGACATCATCATGTCTTCGTGAATTGTCTGTGAAAAGTTTTACAAGTCCCAAAATAAAGGAGCGAGAGGCATGTAAACAAGCATTAGAAATTATTGCCTATGAATTGGAAAAGGGACGTGTTGTGTTAGTACCATTTAGTGAAGAGATACGATTACATGATGCGGGTGCGTATTGTGATGAAGATCTTATGCTTTGGAGTATTGCCGCCTTTTTTGCCCGTGAACTCCCACTAGTGAAAGTCCACACACTTATGCATAGTGATTGCACCGCACGTACACCATACCGTTTCTTAAAAGGACAACATCATCTTCTTTCATCTACAAACTCTTTATATGATAAGGATGCCCCACTACTGAGTGCTCTATACAGTAAAGAACTGAAACTGGTTACTCATCACACGAAACTTCGTACAGCTGTGCGAGATCGTGTGAACACATTACATTATTACAATCCCGTGCGGGCTCGTTTTGTGTACCGTAGAGATAAGGCACTCTTTGACAAGTATCATGTGACTGCACGTAATCTCGCACCGGGATTCAGTCGTGGAGGATTAAAACACGATTGGCGTGGACTTGGTGTGTATACACCAGACCACCCACAGGTTCCATATACTCCGATAACAAAGGTGCAGAGTGAAGAGTCGTCCGTCAACGTTTAATTGAAGTGCTGATATGCACTATTTCACATATATATACATATATATTGTAAAAGAGGGAAAGAGGAAAAACAAAAAAAAGAATGAACAAATGAAAAGAAAGATAAGAGGAAGAAAGTGAAAATGGAAGAAAACAAAAAAGGAGAAAAGATAGATCCAACACAATCTGTGTTGGATATGTATATATTTTTTTATTTAATATGTTTCTGCAATGGAGATTATATATATTATACTGTACTGTATTTTTTTTTTTCTTCTTCTTTTCTCTTTTTTTATTGTGATGCCGAGAAAGAAACAGACAGACAGACAGACAGACAGACAGACAGAGAGTGTGTGTGTGTGTCTGAGTAAGTGTACAATAATATTAATAATAATAAAAATACATTATTAGGTGAGAAGTAATCATGTGGACCCAACAACTTACTCTTCAGAAGCCTAACGCTTCACAAACGCCTGAAGAAAAGCATGCACAGGCGTTAGTGACAGCGAATGTTTTCATTGATGATAACCGTGCTCGAGTACGCAGAGCGATGGAACAATATCAGAGTGTGGCGAATAGCAATTACTGGACCTATGGCTACATGGGTGGAGCGATGGTGTTTACAATGGCTACTTGTCTTTCTCTAGGCAATCGCCTGCCATTTTTGCGAAACTATGCGGGTTGGATTTCATTAACGGGAGGTTACTTGGGAGGAAAGGCTATGTTGGGAATGCATAATTCATACAATTTGGCATCTGTTGTGAATGTGATTAACTCATCTATTGAAGAGACTGGTAAAATGGATGAACAGTATGAATTTAAGATTCCAGACTACGCCAGAGAAGTAACAGCACTAAAGCGAATGAAATATGATTTAATGCCGTACACCACAGAGGCAATAGAGGCGCGAAAGAACGATTTGAATAACATGTCACTCAATGAAAGAGCAGATGCATTAGTGGAGGCATTTGAGAAGCGACGTCAGGCCTCTGCACACAAGAAGTAAAAAACAAACAAACAAAAAAGATAAAAGCGGGAGAAAAAAAAAGAAACCGAATTTTGGCGCTGAGAATATTATGGATTAGTGCGGGGGGAATATTTACTCCATGTCTACGGGCTTCAAAACACTGAACATCGACTTCACATGATCATCATCATCAACAACAAGAACAAGAACAACATCAAAAAGAAAGAAAAAAGAATCAGGTAAAAAAAAAAAAAAAAACCAAGCGAAACTGGAAAGGAAAAAAAGAAGAGAAAGGAAGAAAAAACGCAAAGGAAAAAAAAAAAAGAAAAGGGGAAATGTACAGAGATGAAGACAATTCACACTATGAGTGATACAGTAGGCGTATGTCACATATGGTAACTTGTTGTCTCATTATAAATGACACACTCTCTCGCTCTCTCTCTGGTAATCAATCTTCATATTTCAGGTTTTAGATAAACTTGTAGAAGGGAGATAAACAAATCCAACCGATTCTCTCATGTTCGTTGTGTTGACCATTCTCAATGTCTTTAAAAATCCCTTTTTTTTTCTTTTGACTTGATGTTATTATCCTGTTTTTTTTTTTTTTTCTTATTCCTTGTGGAGCAATCTAACTTGCGTATTTTAATTATATATATAGATTTACTATATGATTCTATGTTTTTTTATTTCTTCTTTTTTTGTTTGTTTGTTTTCTTATTATTTCTTTTAAGTAGTTCTACTCTTTCTGCTTCTTTACTGTTAGAAGAAACAATGCAGAAGCGGAGGGGTGTTGGTCTCTTACAGGGTACACAATCAATAAATAACACGACGGAAGATGCGGACCAAACACAAATGTACTCCACGGAGGAACTTTTTCCTTTTCTCACAGATGCGGACCGAGCACAACTCCGACAAGAAGTAGTAACTGCAATTAACAATGAATTAGTACACGCAGAAAGTTTAGAAGTTACCGTTCCGAGACTTCTGCGATCTTCTATAAATGAAGCGAAAGAGCTACGTCGTGCCATAAACTCTATGGTTTCTTCACAGATGATGGAAGGACATCGTGCGGTGCAGATTATTAAAACAAGTAGTGATCGTATTCAAGACCTTCGGGCACTTTTTAAAAAACAAGGAGAACTAATTTCACAAATGGACGTTACATCAGGAAGTTATAAACAATTAAGACAATTACATTTTTTGCGTGATAATATATTGTCTGTTATTAAGTGGGCAGAAGCATTAAAAGAAGTACGCTATGAAGATATGTACAGCCTTGTAGACCAAAGAAGATTTGCAATTGTATACAAACGTCTTCGTCGTTTGCAAACTATAAGACGTACTGTTAGTGAAAAAGCAGGTGCTAGTTACCAAAGTTATAGTGGTGTATTTGAACCTTATTTTGTTAAACTTGATGCAGTACAAACTATGTTTGTATCAGAATTATATAAATTATTAGAAGAAAGCTCAGTACATGTGGCTATTCAAAAAGCACTTGAAGATATACCTCAACCTGGTACAGTTTCAGAACCTTTTGAAGAATATACACAACTTGAGGAATGTATACAAATTTGTGGAGAAGAACTCTCAGAAGGAAATGAAGGTGAAATTTTATGTACTTCAGATGCTGAACCACTTATTACTGAAGAGAAAATTACTCGTGCAGTACGAAAATGTGTGGCTCGATTATGGGAAGAGGAGGTAATGATTGATGTGGTAGACCCTTTTTCACAAATATCAACCTATCTTGGTCAAATGAAGAAGGTAGCACCATTATTATCTGCCTTAGAAATGACTCTTATACCTCTTTCAACAAAATTTTCTTTCTTCGCTATTGTTGTGGGAGCTATTAATGCTGAAGTTATTAATGTGCTAAAAAGTTATGTCGATCCTGATACAGAGGTAGATGCAAATGGTTTATTAGAAGCTTCTGATTTTATTCAATGGTATAAAGATGCTATGATGGAGGCAAACTATACATCATATGTAGACCTTAGCGTTGTAGATAGTCTCGCTGCTTCAATGATGACATCTGCTGTTGGTGGACTTTCAACACATCTTATTCGACTTTGCCGTGCTTGTGCTATATCAGTATTAAGTGGAGGAAATGTTCCAAATACTCTTCCGAGTGGTTTACCTGTTACAACTGGACCGATGGATATGTTTACAGTTTTACAACAATCACTTGGAGGTATATCAACTGCAATTGAAGTAGGTGTTATGCGGCAAATTGGTGTTGCTTGTGCAGATGCAATTGAAGCATATCTTGAAGAATGTAAGGTTCGAAGCGATTACGACTATTGGGAGGAAGAAAATGAATCTTCTGGAATTCCACAGGAGGAATGGGCAGCTCGTCGTTTAGCATTTCTTTATGCTTTTTGTAATGATTGTTCTACGATTGAACGTAATATGGATACAATTGAATTAAAATTTGCATCTTACTGGGATGAAGAAGATAATAATAATAGTAGTAGTAACAGTACTTCTGGTGGAGGAAATACCTCACCGTTTCAGCGAACTCAAGATAAGATTTCAGAAAATGCTCTATACTATGTGGATGAAATTGTACTTCATGTTGAACGTATTGTTGGAACACAATGGTCTCTCGTTTTTCGTTCTAAAGAGTGGTATGATAATGAAACGAATCCAACACGTGTTATAGTTGATACTATGAGTGATTTTATTGATGAAGAATTCAGTAAAGCGTTAGAAGAACCCCGAGCTCGTATTGCTACTTCTCGAATGATGACTCAATTTATTCACAAGTATCTTACCACCCTAATGGAGTTCCTTGGAGATGTGATTCGTCACCCTAACAGTCGTGCTGTAGAGAACTGGACCAGTTTCACAGATTGCCTCACGCGGGATACTTCCATTGCGATGGAAATGTGGGGCGAGCGGGTGAAGGATGGCCGGGGGCAACTCGTGAGCACCGCCCGCCGTGCGCTGGAGCTGATGGTGCACCTCCTCGCCGTTTCCACCCCGGCGGAGTTCAACTTTGTGCTGCAGCGCGACCTCCTCGACGACTTTGGCGACTGCCCGACGTTCGTCGTGCGATTTCTGCTGCTCGCGCGGCGGCGGCTGCTGGCGGCGGAGGCCCCCGACCGCATGATGGCCATGTGGCGCGAGCGGGTCGCCCACCAGCGGCGGGGCTCCGACGACGTCCCGACCGCCGGCTGGCCGCGGCCCCCGTCCCTCCTCGGCGCCCTCGACCGCCGGCTCGCAGACCTCGACCAGCGCGGCGGCCTCCTACGGGCAAGCCCGCAGAAGAAACGCGCCAAGGCAGACCAGAAGCGCATCGCAGAAGAGAAGGAGGCAAAGCGGCAGTTGCGGAAGGCAAGGCGAGAGGCAGATGCCGCAGCGGCAAAGGTGAAGCTCCCCACCGTCCCACGGAAGAACAAGGATGGGGATGATGTCGAAGTGGCAAATCTCGCCGATTTGCTGAAATAGTGCTCGTGGAGCATTTGCGTTTTTTTTTTTTTTTGCTTCTTGCTGTTTTTGTTCTTGTAAAGTGGTTGTACAGCACATCGATATTGTTTTATTTCGCTATGTCTGGCGTTTTTTATTTTTTTTTTTGTTTTGTTGTTGTTGTTCAATTAAAATAAATAAATTTTGTGAATATATACTCTCCGCTTTTGTATTTCCCAATACTAACACTTTTTTTTTTCTACTATTTTCTTTTTTATCTCCTATTCTCTAATAGACGAGAAAACATACATACACTTACACACCAAGAGGGAGGAGTAGGAAGAAATAAGACTATACAAATAAATGAAGGGGCCTGGAGGACCGTACTTAGTTGATGTCGCTCTGAATCTCACAGACTGTGTGTTTCGTGGGGTTGATTGGAAAGGTAGACGGGTTCATGAAGACAATTTTGAAGATGTTCTTCGACGGGCAGAGGAGCAGAACGTAAAGAAGATGATTATTACTGGTACAAGTCTTGCACAGTGTGTAAAAGCCATAAAGCTTTGCCGCCGTTATCCTTCTCAACTTCTCTGTACAGTTGGAATTCATCCTGCTCACTCTGCCGAGTTTATGTTACCACTTGATTGGGCAAGTGTTGAAGAAGCTGCTAAGGATGATGTTTCGATTCAAATTCCTCAACCTCCTTCGTCTCTTGAATATCTACCTAATGATTCTACATCTGATGGTCCTGCTCGTTTAGATACATCTAAAACATGGCAATATACGGAGGATCGCTTGAAAAAGTTAATAGAATTGGTAGAAGAAAATCGAGATGTTGTCGTAGCTGTTGGAGAAATTGGACTTGATTATGCTGAACTTTCTTACTGTCCAAAGGATGTACAGCAAGAATACTTTCTTCGTCAATTACGCGCTTTTCGAACACTTAAACTTCCCTTCCTTTTTCATTCACGTGATTGTGGTACAGACTTTGTGCGAATACTTGAGGAAGAACGGCAGAATTGGCCTACTGACCTACCATTTACTGGTGTAGTACATAGTTATAATGGAACTCCTGAGGAGCAAGAGAGGCTTTTAGCGATGAGTGGTATCTATTTTAGCATAAATGGTACTGCATTCAGGGAAAAACAAATAGCTGATCAGATATGTCAAATACCACTTGAACGAATAATGTTGGAAACAGATTCACCTTGGTGTGATATTCGCAAACAACATTATGGGGCACAATTTGTACGTACACATTTCCCAACTAATCCTAAAGAAGGACAACAGAAACAACAGAAAAAACCACAGAAACCATTTGATGCAAAATTATGTAATGAACGACGTAATGAACCATGTCATTTACGACAGGTATTAGAAGCGTATGTTGGTGCGCTTCGTAGTTTGAATCATGGCACGAATAATGAAAATAATAATAATAATAATAATAATAATAATAATACTGATTTGCAGAACATAACAGAGGAAGAGGTGATGCAACGTGTGTATAGCAACTGTGCCACCGTATTCTCTCTTTGAGGTGTCAGGTGAGATGAGGTGAGGTGATGGGAGGAAAAGAGAAAATGTGAACAGGAAACAACGCCAAAATATGCTGGAAGACAAGAGAAGAAAATAATTTTTTTTTGTTTTTTTTTTATGTTATTGAAAGAAAAAAGAGAAAAAACTGCGGTTTTTTTTTTTTTCCTTCTTGGATGTACTTTTTTTTTTGTTTCACCATGTTTGATGCTCTTTTTTTTTTTCTCTTTTATTTATTTATTTATTGGATCCGAAAAAGGACGTGTATGTTTTTCTTGGAATGAAACGAAGTCGTGAGGATGTACCGAGTAGAGATGCACAAGATCAGCAGAAAACTTCTGAGGAGGGACAGAAATTAATAGAGGAGATTGTAACAGTGGAAGAGACACACTCTATTCTTGTTCGCTTCCCTTGTTTAGACTTCTTTAGAGATGCACGTTTGTGTGAGGTTACTGTAGGCTCTAAAGAAGCTGAGGGCGACAATAGTAATCATGATAAAAATAATGAAAATAATAAGAATAGTGAGGGTGATGAAAACACCAGTGTCAATAATAATAATAATAATATTAATAATAATAACAGGAACAATGGGAACGAAACGAAGTATTTTTCTCCAGATGCCGTCACGTTTAAAGATGGAACACTCGAAACGGATCATCCCATTGTGTTGGTGCACACACAGCACTATGGAATAATGGAGTTTGAAGGGACCTGGTGTGATGTACATGTCCCTCAAACCTCTACAACACCTTTAAGTAACCGCGTGGTTGTGCAATTGTGTGAGAAATCTTCTGAACAAGCTCTTCTTGACGGTATCAGTACTAATGGTGAGAGTCAAATGAAAGAATCACAACATGGCACAGTTGTGGATGCGAAGAGTGTAGGGGCGGGAGTGGAAGTCGCTAGTCTGTTGAAGCACCCCTCTGTGGGTGTCACTGCAGATGATGCCCGTGGACTGCAGGCGGCTCGCAATGCATCGTGGGCGTACGGGCGAATAGATGTTCCATGTGCGACGTTGGTGTTGCACCGTGTTAAGTAAGAGAAGGAAAAGAAAAAAAGAAAGAAAGAAAGAAAGAGAGAGAGAGAGAGAGAGAGGCTCTTCTTGTTTTTTTTTTTTTTTTTTTTTTTTTTCTAATCTGTGTTTGGTTTGGCCCATATTCTCCTGGCGATAAAAGGGAAATAATAATTAAAAAAACAAAAGTAAAACTCTTTTTTTTTTTCTTCTTTTTCTTCTTTATTTCTTAGACAGCTGTACTGTGGGGTGGGAGGCTTCCTCATAACACAGTTGAATATTATTATTATTATTATTATTATTATTATTATTATTATTATTATTATTATTATTATTATTAATTACAATTAGAGTAGATCCAGAATGCCCAAACACTCTGGTAGGGGCTTCGTAAAGCCGCAATTCCATCCTCCTCCTCCTCTCGCAGCGGAGGAGCGAACACCACCACCACGTCGGGAGGCACCACCACCGCCAACAACAACAACAACAACTCCATCATCATTAAACACATCGCCTGTTGTGGCCGTCACCGCGGCGCTGACATCCGTCTCCTCGCCTTCTCCACGGAGGGATGAATTGGATTCCGTTGAAGTTAGCCCTTATGATTTTATACGTTTACCAACATCCGACACCTGCATGGGGAGTGAGAAGAAGTACCGAACTTCTCATCCATGCAAGAGTGAATTAGAATGGTGCCGTGAGTTACTTAAAAAGGAGCGTGAACTTGAAGAGCGATAAGAGGAGTTTTCTGCCCTTGTGCGTATGCAACACGCGGCGTACACAGAAAGATTAGAAGAAATATCGCGACGAGAAAAGAACCTCATGGAATGGGAACAACGTTTACAGGCTGAAAAAGAGACAGATCGTAATCATAACGAAGGCATTAATAGAAATTGTTGTTGCAGTTGTCATCGTGTGGGAAAGAAATGTTGACCGAGGAGGGGTATTAATAAATAAATAAAAAAAAAGTTGATAGGTAAGACATTCCGCGTGTTCTATGATTAACGTTTTGTGTTTTCTAGAGTAGAAGTTAATATTCGTATCGAGTTCTCACCATAACAAAGAAAAAGAAAAGAGCACAGCAAAGTGTGTAATAAATGACAATTTGTTACAGTGAGATTGGTTTTTGATGAAAAAAGAGTAATAGATGGAGAAAACGAAGCTGTAACAGTTACGCCTCTGTATTTAAGTGAGTTTCTTGATGTTGCGGATTTATTCTTCATATTGTATGAGTTTATATACATATAAATATATTTCTTTTTTTTTTGCCTTTTTGTCATTGCAAATATGTATACATATCTACTCTGAGCCTACCATAGACAAATATATATATATAAAGAATTTATTTCTGCCATTATAGGCGTTAATGGTGTTTCGTGGAGTTGCCACTCAACATGTATCTTCTCTGCAGTTATTAGTTCGCAAGGCATATCGATCACTACACTTTTACAATGCGGATGTGTGCAGTGTTGTGGTTGCCGCATTGGGGGATCTCTGCGAACAGCCCTTAAGTGCGCATGCCATGGTCCTCTCACTGCTGACAACAATTCCGGAATTTCAACACACAAATCATGTGGTGCAGGTCTTGCAGGGACTTTCTAATTTACATATACATCATACAATGCTCACCGCACATTTATTGAAGTGTTACCTCCGTTGTTGCTTCAATACTCTAGAAATAAAACCTGCTACCGCGACAACAACAACAACACTATCATCATCATCACCATTAGGTGTTGAGAAATATACGTTTCCTATTTTAAATGAATCACCTATAAGAGTGAAATTATTTCTTTCTTCATTTGTTGCAATTCTACAGATTCTTGAACACCATAAATACCCTTTACACTTGGTTGATTCGTTCTTTGAATCCATAGAAGAATTGCTACAGACAGGATATACATTTTCTTCACAGTGTTTTCATCACATTCATCATAACAATGATAACGAATCACATCTTTTGACGATAGAAATGGATTTTAGAAATACTTCTGATGATATATTCTTCTTAATGTGTAGTCTTATTCGTGTACGTCAACGCCGTCAAGAACTGTTAGAGTGTACATTTATCTGCATTGAACATTTACTAGTATCTTTTGTCGATTGTTTGTCTCTTCGTCATGTGGTTTCATTATTGACTCTGATAGAGGAATCACATGATGATTGGAGAGGTTGTAAAATAATTTCTGATGAGAAAGAAGAAATGAGTACATTGCAGTTGTTGTTATTAAAGGTTTTACTCTCTCGTCTTCAACCAGAGAATCTTCTTCCAGGTATACTAACAGGTAATGAAGTTGTAGTTCTACTGCGTATTTTGAACCATTACTCTCTAAAGGGAGAAATCTCATCTGAGATGGAAGGGCGTCTACACCGTCTTGCACATGCTCTCTCTGTATTTGTAGAGAAAACACTTTTTACCTTTAATGTGATTTCTCGCCTCGCAGAGAGTGATGTACTCACATGGAATGAAAGAGATAAGAAGTTCACTAAAGAATTTTTAACTTCATCTACAGAATGGCAGATGCGACCACGTTTAGAACCCTTTCTTGATACTCTACAGCATAAACTATATGAAAAAGAGGAACATCATTATAATCAAAGAGAAAAATTTGACATAACTGAAACTTTACTTGTATTGTGTTATCGTCTTTTGGTGTTTCATGTAGTGAATCATCACGATATATCCACTGAAACTCTTCACCGGGTTTGTGAATTTACTACTACTGCTTTAGGTTATTTATGTTCTCAGTTAGGAATTGTGGAATATTCGTTTAAACTGAGTGTATTTAGGTTAACTATACCTGTAAAAGCTTTATTACAAATACATATTTCAATATATTCCTCTTTAGAGGTAAAAAATGATATAAATGACTGTTTGACACTTTTAGATATGTTAACACAGTATGAATTATTGAACGGTTTTACGAATTGTTCCCTCTCAAACGTTCCCCAGAATGAAGATCTTTGCACTCTTTACAATATACTTCACAAAAGACAACCATCAACAGAATTGTTGGCGATAATTGATAGAGTTTTTCCCACAATTTGTAGTGAAAAAAGAGTTACCCATGAAACTGCTGAAATTCTCGTAAAAATACTTGGTATTCTTCGTTCTAAAGAGTGGGTTCAGTTTTGTAGTAGAAGTTGTGATAGTAATGGTGATGTATATTGGATAACATTAGCTGCTTCTGTTCGTCTTAACGAGTCGGTAAAACTACTATTCCCTCTGTTATCACCTTATTCTTCTAAGAAAGAAAGTGAAGAGGGGTATCATGCATTTGAGGTATTACTAAGTCTGTTAGTAACTATTTCCCCATTAGAATACTCTATGGGAGTTATAAATGGAAATGATGGGTTAATTGTGGCATGTATTTCTTCTTCACATGGTGTTCTGAATATAGTAAATCGACTTTTAAAAGCGTGCAAGAGTTGGAGTATAAAATTCCTTACAATAAGAGAAGCATGGGATAACTTTGTATTGCCTACAGTTAATACACCAGATCTCGCTGAACGTCTTGCCCATCAGAGCCGTTCTTCAAAGTTATGGCAAATGACAAAGTGCTGTGAAACTAATGATCATTACTGGAGTGAACAGGGAAAGAGTAGTTGTACTGAGAAGGAAATAGTACCTTCGTGTATGGAAATTCAAAAATGGCAAAATTTGTTGGTAGAGTTTGCGGTATGGTTGGGTGCATTTCAATGTGGACTTCAATTAAATAATAACGACAGACGTGTTATTGCTATTCAAGAGGCAATAGATATAAACTTTTTGCGAGAATTGCATACAGAGGTACTAAAAAGTGCTACTTATCTTATATTATGTAACAAAGAAGGAGCGACAAAAGAATCTCAACGCAAACTTCTTCGTGCTATTTATCTCAATTCACAGTATAAATCCATGTGTGGAGAATCAAGTGATATTTCATTGCTCTTTCATGATGAGGAGTTTATTCGTATCATAACATTACTGATTATGGATTTATATCAAATTTTCGTTCTTTCAGTGAATACACCTACTGACTCTCTTGATATGAATGCAAAGGAGTTGACATTACTTTTAGTGTATTTTACAGAAACCTTTGATCGGTACGAAAAGCGAAGTCGAGTAATGCATGTATTGCGGAATGTTGTATGGGAGTCCCTTATACAAATTACATCGAGCAACAGTCTCATCTTGATGGAGAATAATGACATTGTTATGTTTGCCAACCGACAGAATCCACTATTCTGTTCATTGCTTCTACTTATGTGTTTTTTGCAGTCACCAAACAGTGCGTTAGACCCGGATGTTGTGGAACAACGGTCTGCGGTACAAGAGGCAGTTGCTGGACTTGTGGGGGCGTTGTGTCGATATACACCAGTGCTGCGAAGATCCCGTCCTGCACCGGAATCTCTATTGGCCCTCACTCTTTGCGAATTGTTGGAGGAACACCGTGATGTGAGAGTCGCAGCATGTAGTATGAGTTATGTGGGAAAAAATGAAAAGATACTAGTAGTACTTGTTGATATTCTGCACCGTGAGATGAAGTACTTGACTTTGTGGGAGGATGCATTTCGTAGTGTGGCTGAACGGATAAAGAAATATTGGTAGCAGGAGTTTATTTTATTTTTTTCTATTATTATTGTTTGTTTTTCTAAATTCTTTTGTTTTTAGTTTGAAATAAATATGGTGTTTTATTCTTATTATTATTATTATTATTATTTTTTTTTTTTTTGGGGGGGGGGGGGGGGGTAAATACTGTTTTTCTTTGGGAGTTATTCTTTCTGGTGCCATTTTTTTTTTTTTTTCAACTATTTGCTTCATCCGTGTATGTTCCTGCTTACCCTTTTCTTTCATATGGGTATTATAGTTAGAGGGGTTATGAATGTACTGTACGTTTGAGTTCTTTTGTTTCCTTTTCTTTTTTTTTTTTCCGCTAACAGTATCTTCACTCACAGTGACAGAGGGTTGGTATCGCCCTATTTTTATTTTTATTTCCCTAACCTCTAAAAAATAAAGTTGAATTACAACGAAAAAAAAAAAAAAAAACAGGCAAAGCAAAAAATAAAAGGAATTTGTATAGTCTCTGGAAAAAAAAAAGGAAAACAACAACATCAACAAAAATACACATTTACGTATACATATACACATACAGACAATAAAGAGAGAGAGATAAACGGGGAAAAAAAAGGTCACACCGTAGACCAGCACGAGCAGTCTCCCTGTCCTCATCCCACCCCTCCTATACGGATTTCCACCTCCACGGCAGTAGCTAGTGGATTCTTGCAAACAAGGCCCCCCATCCACAGACAGACACCCCCTCCCCCCTCCACTCTCTTTTTTCTCTTTCTTTATTTCTTTCTCTCATTTTCACACACGCGATGGCGACTTCGCGTACGGATAGTTCCACAGCGGTGATGCTGCTGCTCCGCGCCCTCTACCCGCACGTCTCGCGGGACTCCCTCGCCGCTGCGGTGCGGGAGACGGGGGCTGGCGGGGTGGAGGCCGCCGTGCGGGCCGTCAACGCCCACGTGAACCCCAACAGCTCGGTTCTCGCCCACGTGAGACTCGCGGCCGCGGCCGGGGCTGAGGGGTCGCCGCGGCCGCCGCCACAACAACAACAACAACTGGAGCAGGAGCGGGCGGCTCTCCTCGAGGAGAAGCCCTTCGGTAACACGGCGTTGACAGACGAGTACTGCTCCGCGGTTGGTGTCTTTGCCGTTGATACCACAGCGTGGGATGCACACTTCCTCAACGGAGCCACACTGCCGGATCTCATCGGTGGACACCCACTCGTCTTGCCAGAGGAAAGAGGAGAGGAGCAAGAAGATCAACGACAACAGCGTGAGCAGGACAAGAAACAGAAGGAAATGAGATGCAAGAAGGGGACTGACATGCAGACCCCAATTGTGTGCTGGGCTCCGACACTGGAAGCACTGGGAGAAGCAGAAACAAGTGGCTTACCGAAAAGGATGAACTCTAACGATAATGTAGCACCTTTTGTCCGCCCACTGGAGAGAGATATTATGATATGTGGAAACCGCCATAGCGATCAAGCCTCAGGTAGTAACATGGAGAAAGGAATGTTAGAGATGACAGTAACAGATGATAGTATTAGTGCCAATACTAGAACTTCTACTGTTGCTCTTAATAAGGTGTCCAATCGTCCCTTATTGTCACCGTTGCAATATAGTCTTTTAGCGATTGAAGAGTTGAATGATGCTATTAATAAACTTGACTCTTGGAAGTCTGTTTTCAGTTACCATGAGAGCTGTTATGTAGTAAAAGATATTGCTGACCACAATCCTGCAGTGGTAAGTTTAATGCCTGAAATTACTTCTAATATTATTGCTGCATTACAGGAAGGGTTAAGAGGTGTGAAATTCTTTAATCACGTTGAAGGCATTCACGTTCCGATTTGTGGAGGATACCTCGTAAACTGTGGTGATCTCAGCATTGAGGAAATAAATTTTGGGCGCTCTTATGGGAAATTTGAAAGTGAAGGTAAAAGACTTTCATTCCGTTTAAAAGTGAAGCGACTAGCTTTCACACCGTTATCTGTTTCATATCGCAAAGTAAAGAGTAAGAGTGAAGTGATGAAAAAAGCAGTCTGTAACGTTGTTATTAGTGATATGAAGGTTAAAACTAATGTGGAACTGTATTTGTATACATCTGGTCGTTTGGTTGTTCGTTGTAGTGATGTTAGTGTCTCCATTGGTTCCTTGTACATTGACTGTTCAGCTAAATTACTAAAGATCATTGGATTCTTTCTGCGTCCCCTTATTGTATGGAAACTGGAACATGCTATAACCACATTTCTGCGGGATACTATCACTATAGGCGCTGCATAGATCTTATTCGTTTGGTTTCTCTCCATGACTAGGTGTAAACTGTACATGTATTATCCTTTTTTTTTGTTTTTGCATATGTTTTTCTGCCTGCTTTTGTGTCCACTTAGCCTTTTCTTTTCTTCACATTCCTATGCTTTTCTATTGTTTAATGCTTATATTATTATTTTTTTTATTTTTTGCGTGCACTACTTGTTTCTTTTTTCTTTTTTTTTTTCCTTTATTTTGGTTATGTCTTTCAAATTATTTGCATCTTTTTTTAGATCAAACGAATAGTAAAAACAACAGCAACATCAATAACAAAGGATATTATTTATCGAACCTCTGATTTTTACTTATTACAAAACAAAAAGAAAAGGAAGGATAAAATTATTGATATAAATAATATTACACTTACGTTGCATATTATATTTCAAAGATGAGTTCCGCATGGGTGCTTGACACAAAAGAGGCCAATATTGCTACCCCAAACCACTGCTCACCTGATGTGCCGCTGTCGGAAGAACATCAGGAGGCGTGCGGTGTTTACACACGTCGCCTGAAGCCTGAGACATTGCACGAACGACACCCGACAGATGACGAGGGCCGCACAGTGTTACAGCATCTTGCTTGGAACCTGGGTTGTAAGAAGTACGAGGAGGTAACTCTCACTTCAGAATCAGCGGATGAACTAAAGGAGCACCTCAACGTGGATGAGCAGATGCGCCTCGTGGAAAGCGGTCTTGTCTACGTGGATGTACGTGATGTGGAGGACCGATGGATTCGCATTGAGGCTCAGCCGGGTGATATGGTGGTGATTCCCCGTGGCCTCTATCATCGCGTTGTCGCTGGCGGTAATGGAACGGCGCGTGTGGTGCGACTCATGCGGGAGTCTGAGACGTTCCGACCGGTGGTGCGTGGAACTGCGTTGGACGGGGAGGCTGCAGAGGCGGCGGCATATCACGCCCATTATATTTCCCACCCGCCAACAGAGACGATCCTCGGACCGGCGAACGATGTTGACAACTTCCTTGTTGTCTCCCCACGCGACTTCGACGTCACGCTGGCGAAGGCGAAGGCGGGATTGGCCCGAGGCGATGTGCTCGTGCTGCTCTTTAAGGGCGCATCCGATCGTATGACGCACATATCTTGGTGCCCGCCATGCGTGCGCGCGGAGCCGATGGTGTGTCGGGCTGTGCAGGCAGCACGAAAGGCGCACCGTGTGGTGTTCGTTCAGTGCATTCTTGAGCGCTCCGTCTACCGTGGCAATCCCGAATATCCCTACCGCACCCATCCATTACTCAACATTGCCACAATTCCATACCTGATTGTGATGCAGCAAGGGGAGACGGGAATCGTTGAGATTTGCCGTGAGCGTGA